GAAGGTGCAGTCCTTCCTCCCCAGCGGCAGTGTGTACCCCAGGGAGCTGAAGGTGCAGTCCTTCCTCCCCAGCGGCAGTGTGTACCCCAGGGAGCTGAAGGTGCCGCCCTTCCTCCCCAGCGGCAGAGTGTCCTGCAGGGAGCAGAGACCGTCAGTCTCGCACCCCAACCACAGGACAAAATAATGAAAGGGGAGACAGCTGGTCCCCCTCTCCACCAGCAGAGAGAGTGTCAGGGAGAGGAGCCTGATACCCCTCCTCCCCAGCGGCAGTTTACAGTTCAGAGAGAGGAGCTTGTTACACCCTCTCTCCAGCGGCAGCCTAACCCAGCAAGGGGAGATGTTACACCCCCCAACAGTGCAAATTGGACTGTAGTCTCTGCACTTACAGCACAAGGGGTAGGGACAGTCGGTCCTGTTCCCCAGCCACAGAGCGGTGTATCCAGAGGGGAGACAGTCGGTCTCTCCCTCCCACAACCAGGCTCCCACCAGGCTACTTCCGCGGTAGCACTGGCATCAGGGCAGAGTACCGCTGGTCTCTGCCCACTCAGCAACCCACCAAGGCAGCCTAACAGTTGCCCACACAGTCGTGGTGAGGCACCTGGACATGGACAAAGTTCTCCTCTACCCAGGTGTAGTAACCAGTTATTGTGGGTGGGCTGTACTGCTGTTTCTGTTTTGTGGGGGGGTTGCTGGACTAACCAGGGCACTGACCGGCAGGAGGTCAGATACCCTGTTAGTCTAGTTGGTAAAGGGGAGAAGTGTGGCGAAACCAACCTCGCCACTGTGAACTGGAGAAGCCTGGTTGCTCGCCTGCTCCCTTTGGACTATGGCCCTGCAGGTTAAACTGTTTATTTCCCCTGCAGAAAGGCTTATTTGTGTGATCTGAGTGCCATTCATCTAATAATGTGCGCTCAGATCCAGGGCCGGACTGGGAAAAAAATTAGGCCCGGGCATTTTTCAATTAGAGCGGCCCCCTAAGAAGGGGGCGGGGCCAGAGAGGGTGTGTTTTGTCATCACTAATGACAAGCACGCCCCCTCTGAAAGTGAGCATGTTGGTTCAATGCGCAGAGCCCCGCTGAAGAGCTCTAGCATTAGAAAAAGGCCCTGTATTTGTTCTGCGCAGCGCAAGCAAATGTAATAACATGCTTGCGCTGTGTTTGCTTTTAAATTGTCTCTGGTGTCTCCACAAGTGGGATACCAGAGGACAAAAGGGCCAGGAAAGTGTGTGGTGCATGTGTTTGGCGCATGCTTGTGGGATTGCCTGTGTGTAGAGTGTGGTGTGGTATTGTGTAAATAGGTCAATTTTGTGGTGTAATATGTGTGGCTAGGGGCTGTACAGAGTTCGTGTATAGGGGCATAGTGTTATAGGGATGTAGCGAGTGTGTGCATACGGGCAGTAGTATGTGTGTATAGGTGACGTAGTGTGTGTCACTTATACACACACACTACTGTGTGTAGAGAGGGTGTGTTTAGAGTGTTGTATGTGTTTGCTTACAAAGAATGTAGTGTGTGTGTAGGTGGTGCAGTGTGTGTGTAAGAGATCTAGTGTGTAAAGGACCCAGAGTGTGTATAGAAGATTGTGTGTGTGTGTGTGTGTGTGTGTAGAGGATTAAGAATGCATATAGGGTAAGGGATCTAGCGTGTATCTGGAGCGTAATGTGTGTAGTGGTGCAGTGTGAGGGGTGCTGTAGTGTGTGTGTATATATATATATTTGGACGTATTGTATGTGTGAGGTGCGCAGTGTGTTTGTGTAAAAGGGGTGCTGTGTGTTAGGGTGTTTTTATCTGCCGTCACATTCTAGGTTTCTAATTTTCTTTGTCTGTTAACTCACTGAGGGTTATTTTATATAATATATATGTGTCTCTGGGTGTGCTGTGTGTGTCTGGGGGTGCTGTGTGTGTGTCTGGGGGTGCTGTGTGTGTATCTGGGGTGCTGTGTGTGTGTGTGTCTGGGGGTGCTGTGTCTCTGGGGGTGCTGTGTCTCTGGGGGTGCTGTGTGTCTGGGGTGCTGTGTGTGTTTGGGTGCTGTGTGTATCTGAGGTGCTGTGTGTGTGTCTGGGGGTGCTGTGTGTGTGTCTGGGGGTGCTGTGTGTGTGTCTGGGGTGCTGTGTGTGTATCTGGGGGTGCTGTGTGTGTATCTGGGGGTGCTGTGTGTGTTTGGGTGCTGTGTGTATCTCGTGTTGCTGTGTGTGTGTCTGGAGTGCAGTGTGTGTCTGGGGGTGCTGTGTGTGTGTGTCTGGGGGTGCTGTGTGTGTGTGTCTGGGGGTGCTGTGTGTGAGGGGGCTGTGTGTGTCTGGGGGTGCTGTGTGTGTGTGTCTGGGGTGCTGTGTGTGTGTGTCTGGGGTGCTGTGTGTGTGTCTGGGGGTGCTGTGTGTGCGTCTGGGGGGTGTGTGTGTGTCTGGGGGTGCTGTGTGTGTGTCTGGGGTGCTGTGTGTGTGTCTGGGGTGCTGTGTGTGAGGGGGCTGTGTGTGTCTGGGGTGCTGTGTGTGTGTGTCTGGGGGTGCTGTGTGTGAGGGTGCTGTGTGTGTCTGGGGTGCTGTGTGTGTGTGTCTGGGGGTGCTGTGTGTGTGTCTGGGGGTGTTGCGTGTGTGTGTCTGGGGGTGCTGTGTGTGAGGGGGCTGTGTGTGTCTGGGGGTACTGTTTGGGAATTAATTTTATATATATATATATATTTTTATTAATAATTTTTTTTTAAAAGTTATGTCTCCCCCCCTCCCTTCTTACCTTTAGCCTGGGAGGGGGAGGGAGCCGTTCTGCCTGGGAGGGGGAGCCATGCTGCATTCCCTGGTGGTCCAGTGGTGAGAGTGAACTCTAACCTGTAGGTTAGAGTTCACTCTCGCGAGATCTGAGCGTTGCCGCGAGAAGCTCGCGAGAGGACCCGGCGGAGCTGCTTGTTAGAGCTCCGCCGGGTCCTCTCTCCTGCCTCCCTCCCTCCCCAGCCGGCGGCCGCATCTCCCTGCCTGTGGGCCGGTGAGGGAGATCTTTGATCTCCCCACCGGCCCATGGAGGCACTATGCAGGGCCGGCGCTCGGGTAGCGCTGGCCCTGCAGGGGCCGGCCGGGGAGATCCCCTGCCGGCCTCGGTCCCACGGCCATCGCGGCCCACCGGGCATTTGCCCGGTATGCCCGATGGCCAGTCCGGGCCTGCTCAGATCCCAGCTATCTGGGGATATGTGAAATGTCTGTGTGTTATGTGTAAATGTGACTTGATGTATTTTAAAGTGTTTTGTGTCTTTTTGCAACCATGTGCTTAATGGAGTCTTGTGTCTATCCTGGGAGATAATTGAATTACTCTCCAGGATAGAATACTCTGAAACTGGTTTGGGCCAGAAAGCCATGCTTCATTTAGTCACAAAGGACTTTCCCTTAACTTTTGAACCCCTGGTCTGATTCGTGCCATTTTTTAATATGTTGTTCCCCTGAATGGATTGATTGTGAATGTGATGTATGGTTTTAGAGTTATGAAAGTTGGGTAGAAAGTATGTTTTAACTGTATGTGTAATTGAGTTTCCTCTCAGGATAAGGGGAGGGAATATGTGGGATGTAACTGATATGTGATTGGTTGTTTTGTAACGCCCTGTGGGCTGTACTATGTTTGTGGATTGGGAATAAAAGAGACTGTATGTGACAGTACAGAGAGTTCCTGTTTTAACCCTCAGTGAAGTGTCGTCTCATTATAGGGGGAAGGATTCATTGTATGCTGTTCCAGTTTGACTGCTAGGAGAGTAAACCTATTCGTATGGTTCCTATTCAACTGTCTACAGCATTCATATGCTTGAGAGAAGGTATACACTTCTCCGGTTCGGTGATTGTGGTGTCTGCTGCAGTGCTTGGAGTCCTCAGGAAGCGCTAGGAGCATCTTTCAACGGAGGTACCCAGTCGGGGTGCCAGGTGATCCGTTACAACTGCCAAGGGAGTTGCGGTCTGCGGTTAACCACAGCCTAATTAACGGTCCCAGGGCATTCCTGTTCGTGCACTATTTCCCGAACTAAAACTACCAAAAGACTCACGAACGAGGACCACCTACATCCTGGCGTGTGGCCTCAATTAGAATGTTGGTTTTGCGGTTAACCACAGGTTAAGTACCCCTTCCCGGCGGTCTCCATTCGTTTCCCGAACGGCTGGGACAACCATCATGAGAGCAGGGATTCGTGTAAACCCCTGGCCACCACTCATTCCATGAGTTTGGGGTTGAGGTCCCGCTGCCCATTAACTCACCTGAAAACATGGCCGCCGTCTCATGTTCAGGACAAAAGACACGAACAGACTTTATATTGATGAAACTAGCCATACCATTCGTGAGTTCTGAGCGCTATTCGACTATCTGCTGTGCTCAGATCTGGGGTACATAATGAACGGTAGAATGCACGAATTGTCTATTAAAATGTTAAAGTTATGTATTTTTATACTGTTTTGTATGTTGCAAGAAAACGTGGGATTTTGGGCTCCTGGAAATAATTACATTGTTATAACCGCTGAATTCATTATCTCCAAGCTGGGCGGTAACAATTCAAAAGATACATTGTGTTTCTATTGGTTAACTGCTTGCATTGTCCCTGTATCCCATCACGTCCAGAGGGGGCTGTCCCTGGACCTGAGGTTTTGCTAAAATAGTGATACCTGTGTGCCATTAAAGCCAGTTCTTTCTTGACCCTCAAATCGCAGCCAAAGGGAAAAGGGTATCCTAGCTGTACCATGGGATTATTCTTCATTTACAGGATTCTCATTGTATATTGACTGGAGCGGCTCTTCTCTCTCTCTACACCGGGGAACCAGACTATCCAAGCAGTCCAGCTTCCAGCTAGCCTGGAGGTAACCGTAACATTTGGTGGCAGCGGCGGGATCGTTCTGGATTTCCTAGGAGAGATACCGAACGAATTTTATGACAAATTGAAACTCACTACCTTAAAGGACTTACTCGAAAGCCGAGGTGGGAACGCAAGCAACCGGCCGAGGAGGGAGCTGACCGCAGAACTGACGGAACTGGACCAAAGCTTCACCATGGCAGAAGCCCCGATGACAGCTGGTGACGAGAAAACCAGGATTGTTCAGGGGAGGCTCTCACTATATGGACCGAACCCCTCTATAGAACTGGTGCAGCAGCTGATGGCGGAAGCAGATGAGGACATACAAAAAGCTAGAGCCCACGAGCTCAGCCTAGTGACCGCACACCACAATATCGACTCAACCATGACCTTAATTCCTGCAGAGAGCACCGGGAGGCCAAAGATACCCTTTGCGGCTTTTAGTTATTAAAGCATTTTATTGTTGCATGCATGTAGTGTTATACATAGGTCAGCTGAACAAATCGTATATCTCACAGCTTATTACACGTTTCATGGTAGGGTGGGTTGTATTTTCCCTCTCGTTGCTGTGCATAGGGTAGCTTCGGGCTTAGCTGTTATTGATATATGTATTTGTGTAATGCTGCCTTTTGTAATGGAAATTTACCTTGTCTCTTTATTCGTGAACATTGGTGTGAACTGTAACAGAAACCTAAATCTAATGTGTAACTAGTTCCTCACCCCATCTGGGTGTGTCGTTGTGAGTACTGGTCACCTTCTCGGTGACTCCTCTCTAAATGGGGATGGGTAGAGCCCTTCTTTTCACGTTGTCAAGGGTAATATGGTCCGGGTGCTTCTGGGCCGTGGTATGCTGATTTTCCCAGCCTACTTTTATTCGTTCGTTACCCCGGGAGGCTATGTCACCTGTCCCCTCCTACTATCCCCCCTTTAGTCCAGTCAATGGGTGGGAGATGCGGGTCGTTATTTTGTCGGGGGTTGGCTACTGTCTACAGTCTTTTAGTTTGTGGATTTGTACATCATCCCCAGGTTAGTCTCTTGTAAGGGGGTCCTACTGTGTTGGGGCATCACCTATTCCATCCCCTTGTCCGGCCGGCCGGTTCCCCTGGGAATAGACAGCAAGGGGGCGGGAGAGCGGAGGGGGGAGGAAACACCGGGAAGAGGTAGGGGAGTTGAGCGAGCACTCGGCCTGTGCCGCCCCGGGGGCCCTCGCCCCCCGGCCCCATCCACATCCGCCAGCCACCTCGTCCAGTGGTACCAGGTCTGATGGTATCATTGGGCCTTGTCCGCCTCCACGAGGATAAGCTCCTCAATCTCCCATATGTCTTCCACCATTCGGATCCAATCCCTAATGGAGGGGATTGTCTTCTTTTTCCAGTGGTTGGGTATGAGGCTGCGCGCTGCGTTAATCAGGTGTGGTAGCACCGTTTTTTTATATCGCGTGGGTGGCATTGATGTGACATGTAGGAGATATGCTTCGGGGGGTGAATTCGATGTTAGCGTCTGTTATCTTGGTGATAGCTCCGTGGACCTGTTCCCAGAAGGGCTTAATGTTTTGGCATTTCCACTATATGTAGAGTTGCGTGCCGAGCTCCCTCCCACATCTCCAGCATTCTGGGTCGCACTGGCAGCCTGCAGCGGAGAGCTTCTCGGGGGTCCTGTACCAATGAGTTATACATTTTTACTCTGATTCCTGGTATTTTGTGCTGATCGAAGATTTATGTATGTTCACGAATACGTTTAGCCATTGGTCTTCCGTCAGGGAGAATCCCAGGTCTCTCTCCCAATATCTAGTGTAGTATGGTAGTTGGTTACCGTTTCTGGCTGGGAGAATCATTTGATTTAGTATTGAGATGCAGTGTGATGGTAGGGCATCTTGGTCACACAATGTTTCGTAAGCCGTCAGTTGCGTGTTTGCCGATTCTAGGTTTGGGATGGATTTGACGTATCTCACCAGTTGGTGGTATCTGAACTGGGTCAGGAAACTCGAGGGATCCGGGGCTGGTAGGCCCGCAAAGGGCGTCGGTCTCCCTTCTGTGCTTATGTGTTTTAGTCTGCACTGCCTCGGCAGGCCCAGAGCGGTCAGGAACTGTGGCGAGGCTGCCTGCTGATATAGCGGGTTTCCTGCGATAGGGTGCAAGGGGGACACCGCCGCCGCCAGATTCCCCCTCTGGGCCAACGTCCTCCCGGTTAACATTGTGGCTTTGATGGTCGGGTGGTCTCTTGGCACCATCCCCTCCACCCCCTTTGGCACCCACAGCAACGTCACCAGAGGGGTCTTGGAGAAGCTGTCCTCTATTGCCACCCAGAGCTTCCCTGGGGGGGGGGGGGGAGCGTGGGTCCATGCCACGATCCTCTGTAGATGTACTGCGTAACGGTATGTAGTCAGATCCTGCAGACACAGTCCCCCCCTCAGCTTTGGTTGGGTTAGGATCCCGTGGTTCAGGCGTGCTTGCTTTCTGTTCCATACATATTGGGCAAACTATCTGCGTGCCATGGCCAGGAACTCCCTGGGTATGTCTATTGGCAGTGTTTGAAGGCGGTACAAAAGTCTGGGCAGGGCATTCATTTTCAGGATATTTATTCTTCCTAACCATGTGATGTGTGGGAGTGACCATTGTTGGAGGTCCTTTTGAATTCGTCCCAAGAGTGGAGCGAAGTTGAGCCGAAACAACTCGGTCAGCTTTGCCGGTATCCACACTCCTAGGTATCCTAGGGCCTCTTTGCACCAGTGGAAGGGAAATGCGGTATGGATCATCTGTACTGTGTGTGGATTGCATCCTATGTTGAGGATTTCTGATTTTCTGTAGTTTATTTTCAGGTTAGAGAGGAGGTAATATGTTTCGAATTCTTTCATAATCTCTTGTAGAGATGTCTGTGGATTTGTGACTGTGAAAAGAAGATCATCGGCATATGCAGAGATTTTGCTTTCTCCCCAAGCTCCTCTTATTCCCCGCACTCCGGTGTTTTCTCGTATTGCATTGAGAAACGGTTCCAGGCTAATAACAAAGAGCAGAGGCGATAGGGGGCACCCCTGCCGGGTCCCATTTTCTATGTCGAATGGTTGGGACAGGATTCCATTCACTTGAACTCGTGCTGCCGGTTTGCGGTAGAGAGCCTGGATCCATGACATCATGTGGGGTCCAAAGCCCACCTGCCTAAGTGTCATCATGAGGAAGGACCAATCTACCCCGTCGAACGCCTTTTCCGCGTCTGTCGATATCAGCAGTGATGGGGATGCTTGTTTTTGGGCCATATGTATCAAATTGATCACCTTCACTGTGTTGTCACGGGCGTCACGGCCCTGCACGAATCCCACCTGGTTCGGGTGTATCAGCCCCGGCAAGAAGGGCTGGATGCGGAGAGCCAGGATCTTCGTGAAGAGTTTCAGGTCGGCGTTCAACAGGGAGATCGGTCTGTAGCTGGTGCACTCCGTCGTGTCCTTCCCCTCCTTTGGCAACATCAGACAAATCAGAGGCATCCTATTTAAGATAAAAGGAAGCCAATAACACTTGCAAAAAGGCAATTAAAGTGGCTAAACTAGAAAATTAGACATTGATAGCTAAAGAATGCAAAACCAACCCCCCAATTTTTTTTCAAGTACATCAATTCTAAAAAAATAAAAAATGAAAGTGTAGGTACACTGGAAACAGAGTTGGGTTTATTAGCTAATGAAGACCAGGAAAAAGCAGAAATTTTAAATAACTATTTTTCTTCAGTATATATTAATGAGAATCCTATGGCAAGAGATATGCAAATGATTGCTGCAAAAAACTTGCAAATAACTTGTGATTGGATAACTCGAGACAAGGTGCTACAGCCATTAAAGAAAATTAATGTAAATAAGGCTCCGGGGCCTGACTGTATTCGCCCACGAGTACTTCAGAAGCTAAGTGGGGAAACAAGTGAACCTCTGTATTTAATTTTTCAAGATTCTTTTGTTTCAGGTGTTGTACCGGAGGATTGGAGGAAGGCAGATGTTGTTCCTATATTTAAAAAGGGTTCAAAATCCTTGCCTGGAAATTATAGACCTGTGAGCTTAACTTCTGTAACTGGGAAAATATTTGAATGGCTATTAAGGGATAATATTCAGGAATTCATTGGGAAGAACTTTGTTATTAGCAATAATCAGCATGGTTTTATGAAACATAGGTTATGTCAAACTAACCAAATTGCATTCTACGAAGAAGTAAGTAGAAGTATAGATCAGGGTGTTGCAGTGGATGTGATCGACTTGGATTTTGCCAAGGCATTTGATACGGTTCCTCACAATAAATTAGTGTTCACACTAAAATTGGTCTAGATGAATATTCTTGTTCTTGGGTAGAACATTGGCTTAGAGTAGAGTACAACAAGTTGTAATTAATTGTACATTTTCAGGCTGGACAAAAGTGGTAACTGGTGTCCGTCAGGGTTCTGTTTTTGGACCACTTCTATTTAACATATTTATAAATGATATTGAAATAGGCATTGAAAGCCATGTATCAGTGTTTGCAGATGACACAAAACTTTGTAAAGTAATAAAATGTGAGCAGGATATTGCTTTGCTGCAGAGGGATTTGGAAAGATTGGGGGACTGGGCACTAAAATGGCAGATGAAATTTAACGTAGAGAAATGCAAAGTTATGCACTTCGGGGTTAAGAATGCACAAGCAACTTACACACTAAATGGAAGTGAATTAGGGATAACCACACACAAGAAGGATTTGGGAATTGTTATAGATAACAAATTAGACAGCAATATGCAATGTCAATCTGCAGTTGCTAAGGCCAGTAAGGTTTTGTTATGTATAAATAGGAGCATAAATTCTCGGGATGGAAATATAATTTTGCCTCTTTATAAATCGCTGGTAAGACCACACCTTAAATATGCTGTGCAATTTTGGGTGCCTTTTCTAAAGAAAGATATCATGGCACTGGAAAAAGTCCAGAGATGAGCTACAAAATTGATAAAAGGAATGGAGCATTTTAGTTATGAAGAAAGGTTAAAAAAATTTAATCTGTTTAGTTTGGGAAAAATGGTGCCTGAGAGGGGATATGATAACTTTATACAAATATATTTGGGGCCAGTACAAACCTTTATCTGGAAATCTATTCATAAACAGGGCTATACATAGGACACGAGGTTAAACATTTAGGCTGGAAGAAAAGCGATTTCATCTAAGGCAAAAGGTTTTTTTACAGTAAGAGCAATAAGGATATGGAATTCTCTGCCTGAAGAGGTGGTTTTGTCAGAGTCTGTACAGATGTTTAAACTGCAATTGGATAAATACTTGCAAAAACATAACATACAGGGATATAATTTCTAATTAATGGGGTAATAGCTGCTTGATCCAAGGAGACATCTGACTGCTATTTTGGGGTCAAGAAGGAATTTTTTCCTAGTTTGTGGCAAAATTGGAAGCGCTTCAGACTAGGTTTTTTGCCTTCTTTTGGATCAACAGCAACAACATATGTGAGGAAGGCTGAACTTGATGGACACAAGTCTCTTTTCAGCTATGTAACTATGTAACTATGTAACACCACCACATGTGTCATGAGCATGTTTGGTTCCAGCTCACCCCCCGTTCTGATCGAGTTGAGGGCCGCCACTAGGTGTGGCACCAGAACTTTCGCATATTTCTGATAGTATTGAGCGGTGTATCCGTCCGGTCCCGGGCTTTTCCCTGTCCAGCTTCACCACGTTGAGCAGTTCCTCTGTAGTGATGGGTTCCTCGAGAGCCTCCCTCGCCTCTGCGCTCAGTTTGGAGTTGGTGTGGCGGGTCACATATTCCACGCGTCTTTCCTGTAAGGTGTCCATCCTCCGCCGGGTGGTAACGGATATAGTGCTGCGTAATATGCCCGGAAGGCTTCTGCAATTGTCTTGGGGGTCCGATAGCACTCACTTCCGAGGTTGATGGCTTGTACAAAGCTTTTCTGTCTTTTGGCGTGCAAGGCTCTAGCGAGCATTTTGCCACATTTGTTGCCATATTCGTAGAACGATTTTCTTGCGAGCTTAAATTGGAATTGAATTTTAGCCGCGAGACTTGATTGTAGTTTCGCTCTTACTGCCGTCAATCGTTTATATCTGTCTTCTTCTAACGATTCCATTTCCGCTACTTGAGCTATTAGATCTGAGATCTCCTGTGTGTGGAGCTTTTTTTGGTGTGCGCCGTGTTTGATCAGGAGTCCCCGGATCGTGCATTTATGGGATTCCCAGACTGTGGATGGGTTGGAGTCAGGGGTGGCATTCGTTTAAAAAAGATTTGTTCCAGATTCTCAAGGATATCTGCGTGGATTGTCGGGTTTTCAAGTAGCGCTTCATTCAATCTCCAAATCCATTGCTTTTGGGTGGATCTCGGGTGTTTGATGGATATGATCACCGGTGCATGGTCCGACCACGTCATTGGGGCTATTCGTGCTAAGAGGAGATTGTCTAGTGTTGCAGGAAAAAGTAGTCCAGTCGAGAATAGGATTTGTGTGCCGTCGAATAGTAGGTGTAGTCTCTAGTATTGTGGTTTAGGGTGCGCCAGCAGTCCATGAGTAAAGGCTCATGGAGCTGGGCTTTGGTACCTCGAATGATGTGGTCTGGGAGTGTTGTCGTTCCAGTAGATGTGTCTATCTTTGGCTCCATTGGGATGTTTAAATCGCCCCCCATCACTATTGTGCCCTCTCCAAACCTTTCTAGGGCTTCTAGTGTGGTTTTTAGGAAGGTTTTCTGACCTTTGTTCGGTAGGTATATGTTTGCAAAGGTAAATTTCGCTTGGCGTATCATACCCCTCAGAAAGAGATATCTTCCTTGTCAGTCCGATTGCTCTGCCTCCTTCCTGAAGGTAACGTCCGTTGAAAATAGGATCACCACTCCTTTGGTTTTGGATGTGGGGTTATTTGCAAAGAATCCCATTTGGTAGTATTTATTAGAGAATCTTGGGGCTTGGGTGGAAAGGAAGTGGGTTTCCTGAAAGAAGGCGACAGATACTTTCAGTGCCCTCAGTTCCCGTAGCGCGCCGGCTCTTTTTTGTGGTGAGTTAAGTCCCCTTGCGTTTATTGTGTAGAGCACCATCCCCTCCCCAGGTTCCCTCCCTCCAATGGGGCGAGGGGCGCGACGCGGCAGCATCAGGTGAACGAGCGGGGGCCCCGGCCGAGCCACCGAGTGGCAGCAAGTGAGGGAGCGAAAAGAGGGGAAGCCAAGGGAAGGGGGAGGGAGACCAGTGGGCCAAAGTTTTTTAGGGTGAGGGGTGGCAGACTAGTTTGCCATCCCTTGGCGACCTAAGTAAGGGCAATGTGCCTCTGAGCCCGTAGGTGGGTTGAGGTTTGTCCCCTCACTCCCCTAGGCTTCAGTTCCGCGGCAGTGCGCCCGTGGGGCGATGTCTGGTTTGTTGTAAGGTCCAAAGTGGTTGGCCGTCCCCAATGCCCTTGGGTTCGGTAGTGGTAGGTCAGAGGTATTATAATCTTAGAAGTGATAGAGGAGGAAAACGTTTTCCAGTGTGTCGGATCTCTAGCTACTTGGACATTCAATGGGTTTGGTAATGTGGCTAAGTCCGTCTGGGCCAGTCTGTCTAATACGGGGCGGCTCTCATCAGCTTTATCATGTGTACACCTCTATATCCCTAGTAGTCTCCCTTTGTGCACTCTCTTGTCATGAGTCTCCATGTGTGGGCAGTGTAGGTCGTAAGGCCACTCCTGTTTGGCCTTTGTGGTGCGAGTTTGTGGGCCTGTAGTGTCTTAGTTCTGTTCTACCTGGCAGCCTGTGTTGGAGTGTCTGGTGAGGTATCTTAAGCCCGCTGCTTGCCTCTCTGGGCATTGGTGTGAGTGTCTGTGTGCTGTCCTGGGTCTCCAGGAGTGTTGGTGGCAGCGTATATCTCCGATGTCAGCCGTGAATGCACGTATTTCCGCGCTCTCTGTGTCTGGGGGGAGGGTAGGGGGGAAAGAAAAAAGGCAGAGATAGAGAGCGTGGGACAAGAAAGGGTGTGTATGGTGCATACTTGAGCGTGTAGCTTTGGGTGTCTCTGTGGAGGTATTTTCTGCTGCTTGTGGCTATGTCTAGTGTATAGTCCCAATGTCCATGTCATGTGAGAGTTCGTTAGCAGGCCACAGTCTCTTTACCACTAGGCTGCCCGGCGCCCTGTCGACTATTCTTCCGGGCCGACCTGTGGGAGTAAGGAGAAGTCCGCTCCGCTCTCCCCGTCTGTTTGATGTTTGCGGCTCACCGGTTGTCCCGTGCTTCTTTCATTCAGCGGGCCTGTATGTTCAGAAGCCCTAGAGCTTCCAGGAAGGTTGGAACGTCCTCCGGTATGCGGATGGTGGCCTCCATGTTCCCCCTGCGAGCTGAGAGAGCAAACAGGAACATCCATCTGTAGCTGATCTGTTCCTGTTGCAGCGCCATTGTGACTGGGCGCAGTGCTCTTCGTGTTTGCAGTGTGAGGTGTGACAGGTCGTCGAACAATTCTACTAGTTGGCCCTCAATTCGCCAGGACCTCTCCGCCCTTGCTCTCAGCATGATTTCCGATTTCAATTGGAAATCCTGGATCCTGCAGAATACATCTCGTGACGGGGCGTCAGGCGGTGGGCACGGGCGCAGAGCTCTGTGCACTCTATCCATCGCCACTCGGGCCTCCGGCGGTCTTCCCAATATCTTGTTGAAAAGGCGGTTAAGTAGTGTTCTGAGATTTTCCTTAGTCTGAGGTTTCTTTTAGACCCCGCACTAGAATGTTATTCCGGTGGCTTCTGTTGTCAAGGTCTTCGATGTGCATTCTCATGTCTGTGATCTGTGCCGCTTGGTGTCAGATGGTAGCTGGATCTGGGCCATTCGCCTGGGGTCCTCCAGTGCACTGACACGAGTTTCTAGCGATGTCAGAGATGTGCGTATCGAGGATATTTTGGTATGCAGTGTACCCTTCACCTCATCGACCAGTTGTTGAAAATCTTCTTTTTTGGGTAGAGATGCAAACCATGCGTACCAGTCTGGAGTCGGAGGTGGCAGGGTTTCGTGTGCCGACATGGATTCTGCCTTCAATGCAGTTGAGCCGGGAGAGGCCGGCGCCATGTTTGTGGCCTCGAGACTTGCCGCCAAGATTGCCGGCGTTTGAAAGTATCCCCTGATGGATGTTGAGGGTGTCCCCCTTGTGTTCTAGGGGTCGAGGGGGTCATTTGGGTGCGTTTAGTGCGACGCATGGAAGTCATTTGCTGCAGATTATAGCTTTTATAGGGCATCTAGGGACGGAGCCTTAGAGTTAGGCAGCCATCTCTGTCCAGCGCCACACCACGCCCCCCTATGAGGCTTTTAGACCTTTCCTGGAGAACGAGACAGGGATTGATGAATACTTGGCAGTCTTTGAGCGGCAATGTGCACTGCACCAGATCCCCAACAAAGATTGGCCCACGATATTGTCTGAAAAATATCGGGGCGGGCACTAAAAGCATTCTGGACTTTAAGCTCCGAAGAGGTGACCCAGTATATCCTGGTCAAGGACACACTCCTGCAGCGATACGCTGTAACACCTGACACGTATTGCCGACAATTCCGAAGCACTAAAAAGAAACCCAATGACACTCACATGGAACGGGCAAACCGAATGTGAAGGGTGGCGAACCACTGGATTAACGGGAGTAAAGCCGTGACCGCTACAGAAATCCTACAATTATTCTTGTTGGAGCATTTCTACAATGGTATGGAGCAACAGGGAAAAGAATGGCTGCGAGACTGACGACCTGCTACCCTGGAGGAGGCGGCCAAGTTAGCTGATGAACATTATGACTCACGACTTCACGAACCCAAAACTACCGAACAGCGGCCCGAGTCGAACATAAGGACAACTACCGAATGTCCCCTCATACCGACTTCAGAGCTCCAGTGCCCGCTGGGCCCATACGGTACTCAGGACCACCCAGTAACAACGCTCCTGACCGTCCTAGACCAACGTGCTTCCGATGCAAACAACCTGTGCATCTCATGGCAAGCTGTCCTCTCAACACCCACCAGACCTCCTGGAATTATAACCCCTCTTCTGGTCCCTCTCGTCCTGCCAGAGCACTCTGTGTCAACCAGGAGACCCCCATGGAGGAATATTTGGGACCTCTCCACGAGGCAGACCCAGTATACGCCGCTTCTGATAACAGCAAACACCATAGACAAAAGGTATGGCTCAAGGGCCACCCCACAGAGGGACTAAGGGACACTGGTGCTACTATTACGCTGGTTCAGAGCCACTTGGTGCCGGAGCATAAGCGATCAGGACAGACTGTGGCTGTTAGAGTGGTGGGGGGGGATGCATATAAAATTCCTACCGCTAAAGTGCATCTTGATTGGGGAGCGGGGAAAGGGGCCGTGAACATGGGCATAATGGACAATTTGCCTGCTGAAGTACTACTGGGCAACGACTTGGGCCCCATGACTTCTGCCTATGCTCCATCATATAACTCTGAGGCTAACCCGGTGACTACTCAAGCACAAGCCCGAACGCAGCAAGAACCCTCACCAGTGCGGGAGACACCCCGACCTGGACTGACCCCTTGTTAGCCCCTCTGACCCCTTGGGTCCCATACCCTGGGACACCCCAGCCACTTTTGAGACTGAATCCAAGTCCGACCTGACCTGACAAAAATATTGAGAAAAGCAGAAACTGGAGGGGGCGGGTTAGATAAGGAAACTTTTATATGGGAGAAAGGGAAGCGGTATCGCCTGACTGAGAAAAAGGGACAATGTAGATGACAGCTAGTAGTGCCCCACAAGTACCCACAGGAGATACTAAGAATAGGGCACGATACACCTTTGGCAGGCCACCTGGCTGTGACTCGCACCTTACACCGCATCACCCACACCCTTTCAGGCCGGGGGTACACGCTGATGTTAGAACATATTGCAACACATGCGATGTGTGTCAGCGGGTTGGGAGGAGAGGCGACCATCCTAAGGCACACCTGGTGAATATGCCCATTGTAGAAGAGCCATTCAGCCGGGTTGCCATAGACTTAGTGGGGCCACTGGCTACTCCTAGTCCCTCCGGTAAGCGCTATATTCTTACCATGATGGACTACGCTACCAGGTACCCAGAAGCCGTGGCCCTATCTAATATACAGGCAGACACTGTGGCTAATGAGTTGGTTCAGGT